ACATTTCCCTGCTTTTGGGGGGGGGGGGGGCAGTGGGAAGAGGGGGAGGGCTAGGCCCACTTCCCGTGTTTCCGTCTGGCATCCCCAGTTCCAGACTGCAAAGCAGCACGTGCCACCAACAGGGAGCAGAAGGGCAGAGGGAAATTATTACACACAGACACACACACCACTCCAAGGAGTCTGGGACTATGCCACATTTCCAGGGCACTAGAAATCCTCTCCCATCTTGGCAGCTTCAAGGCTTCATCATCTGCCACTCTGAAGTGCAAAGGGCAGTTGTGTGTGTTCCAAGGATGGCAGTGGGGGTTTTACAGTGGAGCCTCCCCCGCCCAGCTCCCAGCCTCCGACAGCCTCGCTTTCCCCCTTGGCCTTTGATACGGTGCTGTTCTTCCTCCCCTGAGGGTCCTGGGCCAACAGAGCAGCCCCCACTCCTCAGACGCCTCACAAAACTAAAGGCCATCTCCACTCACCACTCAGCATCGGTCCTTCCAGGCCACTGGCATTTGTGAAGGAGGTCTCTGAGCAGCTAGCGCACGCCTGTCCTTCAACGCTGCTCTGCCTGCCATGCTAAAATGGTACAGAGGAACCTACCCCTCCTTTCTCTTCTCTTCTCTTCTCTTCTCTTCTCTTCTCTTCTCTTCTCTTCTCTCTTCTTTTTTTTCCCAGCAAGTGAGAAGGTGACAGCCCTCTTAGAAACTTCTAGGAAGGAAATGGAGGCTGTGTGGTTGGCTAAAAGAGAGGTACAAAAACTTGGCGTAAGAACTGGTTGCTATCCTTTAGGTCAGGTTTCTTCTTCCTCCCAAATCAACTCCCAGATGTGTAGCTTAATAACCCTTAGCCCCCAAATTCCCCAGTTTGTGATTCCACCTTCTCCTTCTGTCCCCAAGTTGAACCAAAGTTATTTAATCCAGGTGCTCAGACTGGATGCCCGAATCCTTTGGCAGGACCACCAGCTTTCTTCATACATCTTGTTTTCCATACTGTAAGATGTTTCAAATGTGCAGCAAAGAGGTAAAAGGTGAATATTGAGATAAAAGTTGGTATCAAAGGTCACAGTTTGCCTCCATGGATATGTCAGTTATCCTTAAAGCCAGAGCAAATGCTGTGCTGACCAGGGTCTGACTGAACAGCACTAACTACAGCTGTTGTGGGGCAGCCACAAACCCACTGCTCTCTTTCCTCCAATGGGTTAGTGTGAGCAAAATGCAACAGAGCATACAACTTCAGCTCACTAGCAAAGGGCGAATGCTTGGGGCCAATGACACAGCCGTTCTGCTCAGAGCAGCAGCAGCCGGACAGCCTTAGAAATGAGTGTAGATTGCCAGCCCAGAGAGCCACCCTTTCACACTAGATCAGTCCTCACTTCCTAACCTGCAGAATAAATCTGACTAGCTCCAGGAAGAGGCAGATGACATAAGATGGCTCTTGTCCTGGGCTGCCTTTGTGTGCACCTCAGGGGTAGGAAGGAGGACTCAGCCGATGTTCCCTTGTGACCAAGCTTGCTGGCCGATTCCCACACTGCCCACAGTCCTCCAGTGACCTGCGGTCATCTCTGTTTGGTGGCCTCTTGACATCTGGCTAGCAAGGAGAGGAACTCATGGAACAGGAGGTATTCATAGTTAGTCGTGCTTGTGTAATGAGCGATCCACCTTTCTACATTCAGAGTAAACACCACAGACGTTGGGAAGGGAGGCCTGTAGGTAACCAAGCTGGGCTTGCATCCCACACATGAGCTGGACTGAGCGGGTGACGTTGATGCTCCACATAGAAAAATTTATCTCCTTCTAATGAGTCCAAGCGGATGCAATCAACAGCAGGGACAAAGATAGTACATTGTTAATAGTTCAGGCAGGTTGCCATAATGCCCTGCGATATTCCATCCCCTCCGTGTACACACAACTGAATTCTGTGTTCCACAGTGAACAGACATGAGAACCCAGAAGGAGCAGCAGCATGACGAATCCGTTCTAGTTTTGTGTACTTAGCAAATGAAGACTGGGCCTGCGCTGATGCCATTCCTTTCTCTGGGAGTTCAGATTCCCACATGCACAGATGTTCTTTCCTTTCGTTACCCTTTCGTTGGTCGCTCTGAAAACTGCATTTCCTGAGTGTGCTTGGGGGAAGCTGTTCTGGCTGCACTCATCTGACATCAGCTTACTCCTGAATTACAGTTCAGTGTATGGGAGGATCGAGTCTTAATGAACTCCACAAGCTCAGTTCACTTTGATGTGATTAAAGATCCTTCAGCTGAATGTTTTTCCTTGGTGTACAAACCTAACACAGGTCAGAAAACCTCTCTCCCTATTTTCAACCTCTGCTGCTGTAGTGGACTCAGAAAATAGACAGCTGGCTGCTTTCTGCCCATGACTGAGCTGCAGGACTGGAAAATAAATCCTCTCGGTGGGATCTCGGTGCCCAGTCTCAAGCTCCTCTTCGTGGAGGACCACCAGATGCTCTCTGAACTTGGTGGCATCAGTCAATTAGCCAGGGTAGACCCAGACTAGAGACCTCCTTCAAACAGGGCATGAAAATAAAGTAGCTCCTTAGTGGCAGGTCAAGTGGAAGGAAGGAAATCTGTCCTCCTTCTGCCAAGTACAATTTACTGTGCAAGAACACCCACCACCCTGTCCTGGACTGTACCAAATCTTTCCTGTTGGCTTTCTCAAAGCCTGCTGGCTATCACTTGCAGTCTCCACACATCTGGAAGTCACCAGATTGGGGAAGACAACTTTAAATTATTAGATAGATGGCCCGATGCTGCTTCTGTCAAGGACCTCAGCATCTGTTCCCACAGATGTATCCTACATGAAATAAGGGAAAGGCAGCTATTTTGGACACTGTTAAGGAGATCATAGAAGGAAGCAGAAGAACTGACCCTGGTGTGCAGTGCTGCTTCTCAAAAGCCTATTTGTTTCAATGGGGAATTTTCATTTCATTTCATTCAATTCAATTCATTTCATTCAATTCATTTCATTTCATTCAATGGGGAATGTTACATGGGAAAATGTCCTTACTGAGTGTGCTTTTGGCCTTGCAACTGTCTCACTCAAACACCAAGGATGTGGCTTATCTTGACCTTGACACCATAATCCTGTAATTCAAGATAACTCTGACCTTCAGAGTGTGTGTGTGCCGTGGGGTGGGATGGGGTGGGGTGGGGTGGGGAGAGTGTATGCACTGGTCCAAGTTTGTCTAAACCAGTCCTGCGTTTTCAAAATAGCATGATAAACTCCTTTCCAGTAGAATAGAATATATGTAGCTCAGGGTTGACCTGTGGAGTCCTTGGTAGTTCCTTGAAAAGAAAAAAAAACACCCCCACCAACACTGGCAGGGCAAGCTACTGCATATAAGCAGAGAGCAAACCCCGCTCCCTTCTAGCACTGAAGATGTTACCTAGCCGGGTAACAAAACATCTGCAAGAAAACAACCAAGCTCAGAGAACCCCAAGGACTCCACAAACTCCTTTCTCTTGCTCAAAATCTACTTCCTTTCCATAATTTTGCTGGTGAGATACAAAACAGGTGGAAGAGTTCATTTCCACTGGTCCCATTTCTGTTGGCAGGGGCATCCTGTTATACAAAACAACTTGACAGACTGTATTTAAAAGAGACTGGCAAGTATGACCACTCCCCTGCAGAGGGAGTCCTTCTACCACAGATCTGGGGCAGGGAGAGAAGCCCTACTGCAACTTGCCCCCTTGCTCTGGATGTAACTAGTCCTGACCATCTCCAGGTTGCAAGGCAGTTCCGGTCCTACCAAACCACCTCCAAAGCGGGCATTCTAAGTAGAGACAGTCAGATCCCTTGGAGGTGCCCCTCTCCTCAGAAGTAAGCTCCTTTTCCCTCCACCTCTCGGGAGGACCTCAGTGTGTCTAGCTAGCAGCAGCTGGATAGGTTGAGAAAGTGGTGTTCTTCTGCATGGCTGGAGGACACGAGGACAGCGCCGTGTATGCGTGCATGTAGCAGAGCCCAAAAACAGCAATGTTACCAAATGGCCAGGCTAAGATGCCAGACTTAACCATCTGTCATGCCTGGGTCTGTTCTCCACCTGGCAGAATTAGCAGCTCCCACTCAGCTTCAGCCTTGCCAAAGCCTCTGAATATAACATATAAAAGAAGAAATAGGAGTACAGGGAAAGAACCCCCTTAATTAAAAAAGGACCAAAAAAAAAAACCAACCCTCTGCATGCAACTATAAATGACTCTGTAACCTCTGCATCTACTACAAAATGGCAACAGAACAAAAAGGCCATCTTATTCCTTCATATAACACACCCCTTGGTCCATCCTTCCTTTTATTATCTGATAGGCAGCAGCCCAGAAACTGAGCTTAAGAACTGGGGAAGCAGGAACTGGGATATACATGTATATTGAGATCTGCTGGGAAGATCATTGTGACGATGCATGCTGAGCTCTTAACAGGCTCCATATAAAGGTTAAATGTGCTAAACATACATTTCTAAGCCTTATTCATAATTTTTTATTCATTTTATTTATATGTCTTCATCTTAAAAACAGTCCAAAGACCAGGGCACTAAAATTGTGCAAAATGCTGATCTACTGCCTGAATAAGGAGAGATAAAACTAGTTGTCTCCCTTCTCTTCCCTCATTCCTTGTCACTAATTCAGCGCTGCATCATGGCACCAGCGGAGATATCTTCAAACCAAGTTGGGTGGAAGCAGAACACCAGGCAGGAGAAGTTGGCTGACTGACCTGTTTGCCTCAAGCCAAGTAGTTGCTTCTGGCTTTTTGGCCTCATCTTGCCAGATGAAGTTGCTAGGGGGGCTGAAAGGTGCCAAGTGAGTTCCTTTTGGATGGGTTCAAGCAGAGGCTGGGGATCCCTCCTTTAGGGAGGTTTTCACTTGGACTCCTGTTCTGAGGAGTGGGTTGAGCTTGAGGGGCTCCATAGCCTCTCCCAACTCTACGTGCTATACGAAGTGGGGCCAGGGTTCCACAGAGTGGGTAGGAACCTCTTACTAGGCAGGGAGGGTTGAGTTAAGATACAAAGGAATACGTCCTTGAGTCCATCACTTGTCTTCCGGTGCCAGAAAACATGGAGACACCAAAGAAAGTGAAGGGCGGTGTCTCCAAAGAGAAATGTTGACAACAAACAAATAGGCTTACAGAGGAAGGAGGAAAGTCAGGAGATGAGACAAGGAGGTGGAGGAGAGGAGAATCCTGGCCAGTTGTGTTCTCACCACTGACAAATTTGTTCAGCCGAACTGAAGCGTTTAATTAGCTTGAGAAAAAAAAAAAAGGAAAGTTGGATTCCCTTAAATTAGACTGGCTGGGCTGACTCTGGGGGTGTTGAGATGGGAAGAGTGGAGAGGATGGTGTGAGCTGGTAATGGCGAAGAAGTCGAGAAAAGCCATTTGCCCTCCTTTTTCCTCCATCGCATGCAACTCCCCAGGGGACCCAAGGTTATTAGCGGGGCTTTTAAGCTTCCCCATCTCACTCCCTCTTCGGGGAACAGGAAAGGGGATGCCAGCTAAACAATTAAGTAAAAGGCAGTTTAAAGTTGG